TTAGTAAATTTTCTCATGAGTGCTAAATATTATTCATGTTTTGGCAAAATAATTATCTGTGTTTTTCATTAGAAGACAATAGTTTTCCACCAACTGGATTACCTAATCTCGGTAGAAAATTAATATATCATATAGCAATTAAATACATTACATTTTCCCTTTATCATTTGTAAACAGTGGAACAGATTATTGGCTTTTAAAGTAACAAAATTAGTTGTTCCTTAAAATTATGTCATTAAATCTTCTCCGTATGCCAAATGCACTCTGAAGGGTCAGTGTCTGCAAGAGCTTTCTATGTAAGTATTAACAGAATGATAATAGATTATCTTAATTTATCTAAAGGCTTGAATATTTCTTAGTTCATAATAATCCCATTTTACATACAGCATAAATGGAAACAGAACAGTATCTCTTTACAGCAGTTGCACATGATTGTGCTAGAGTTTTCTGAAATATTGGAATTGTCCATTTATAACTATTTGAAAATCCAGGGGTTGTTAAGAATCAGGCCATAATGCAGCTGTGACAAGAAAATTATTTTTATAATAGCTAAAATCAAGCTAACTCAATTCTAATGCAGAAATGTAGTTGCCTGTTCACTGCACTAAAATCAAAGGAAATAAAGAGGAGGAAAATAAAAGGCTGAATTGTTTACACAACCTTTAATTATAATATAAAAATCAGGAATGTTAAAGCTGTCCCTTTATTTCTGGTATGTTGAGCGGGGCAGGAAAAGATTTGCTTTACAAAAAAATTAAAATAAATAAATCTAAAATGCAGCTGGTAAGTCAAGCTTAGGGCCATGCCAGCCTTTAATGTTTTCTATTTTAAGAAGCCTATTTAAAAGGCACTGATCATCACGGTGTCTAGAACATGAGTTTTCACGTGACACACAATTGTTTGCATGTTTCAAGCACTTTCCTCTTTTTCTACCCTGGTTAATTCTTGTAACCAAGCACTTTATTGCCATTTATGAGCATTCTGCTTTTACTGTACAATTAAAGTAAACTTTACCAGAGTGCTTATTTTGCTGGGGATGCAGGAAACAATTTTAAGGATCAGAAGGACAATATGAAAGTTAGTCTGTAGAGGCAGACAATGCAACTGGGAATTAATCAGCTAACTGCCATTTGTTCCTTTAGAAATCTCCTGGGTAATGTTTAAGGTAACGAAGGCAACATTTAAGTATTTGTGACCTTTGTAATGGCCCTGTGAATGACAAATGTTCATTGAAATTAATTAACCAGCTTAAAGTACACACCAACTCCCCAATTTCTTTCCAAAATGTTCCGGCAAAAGAAACTGTCTGAAATAAAGAGGCAGTACAAAAGCCATGGAGGTACAGGGCCTGATCCAAAGCCCATTAAAATGCAAGGGAGTTTTTCAGTCCACAATATTGAACTTTGGATCAGGCCCCAATGACTAAAATATCTATTAGCAAATTAACATGAATGAGGAAAACAGTTATTTGAACTCCTTCCTTTTTAAATGATAAACTAGCAGAGCTCCACCTTGAGTTAAATGTCTGATTAATTCCTAGCTCATGCTACAATTAATGTAAAAAAAATGGTAAACCTGAGATTCATGCTTCAGTGAAATGGCCATATTAACTTGGTCTGGAAAACTGATGTATAAAATAAACACTTATCACAGTTGTCACTAAAATAGTTTACATTAATTTGCCTTGCCATGGTACATACCACAAAGCAAACCTGCTTGGTCTACCACAGCAAACCTCTGTTAAATGCCACAATAATATATTCAAATATAGATATATATGTACAGAAGTCAGGAAATTCAAAGTATGATTGCATTATTTAATGTTTTGCTTTTCTCTCTGTTGTGTTAACTTTAATGAATATTTACTGGAGGGACAGGGGTAGAACCCTCATCAATAAGCAAAATACATTGTACCAAATTTTCACAAAACATATGTCAGGCCTTTCAGCATGCAAAGAAAACAGAAACCAACAAGTCCACATCCTCAAATATACCCATAGTTATTATAATGTGACACTATAAATATGGGACCATCAATGCTCGATGATGGCAAGCACGAAACCTTGTGTTTAGCTCCTGGGCTCCCTTGGGACATGACAAAGGTGAAGATCTCTGGATACACAATAGGGTAGAGTAACAAGCTATAAGCAACAAGCTTACACAACACATGACTAAGTTTATTAGAACTGGGAGGGTTACTGCTCAGGTGCCATGGTAGTCCAGGCTTGCAGCTGAGGTAAGCGAAGACAAGTTTTCCCCAGAGCCCCACTGATTAGACCTCCAGACAAACTGGAAACTCCTTTGGAGACAAAAGTTAAAATGAACCAAAGAAGACTGGCATGTAAAACCTCAAACTTCATCCTGCCTGGCCCTTGAATTCTGTTTCCTAACAATGATCTGCTAGGACAGGTAAGTCACAGAAAATGCCAGAAAGCTGAGCATGGTTATGGGCTGACAGCCAGAGCCAGAGACCAAATGTGAAATAATAGCAGCTGTGAAATTGACAAGAATGTCAATTTCACAGCTGATAGGCTCCCTGTTGTGAAACTGAGCCCCAACCCACTCTGACTGGCAGCCCCAGGGCGGAGGGGCTCTAGCTGTGAGCCCCAAGTGGCGGTCAGTGCCCCACACTCCAGCTGTCAGTGCCTCACAATGCCCCACTTCAGCTGGTGCAAGCACTCATTGTGAGGACACACACAACTGGCAGAAGGAGTGTATTATGGACACCGACAGCCGATGTAATTACTGCAGTGGCTGTAAGTCGACCTAGTTTTGTAGTGTAGACAAGCCCTTACTATAATTAGTAAGGACCCCTCCACATGAGTAAAACACATCCTTCTTTTCTAGTTACCATTGCAGTACATGGTCATAAAACACAGAGACAGACAGACATGATTAAAGAATGAAATTAAAAAACTAGATTTAAATTAAAAACTATGGAAACTTCTTTCCACAGCTGAAAGAAGTGTATACTTTTAAAAATGTTGTCCATCACTTAAAACAAAAGTAAGATAGCCCTAACAGTGATATCAACTGTAAAAACACTGATTTGCCAAAGAAGAAATTTCTAAATACCACACCTGTTCAACTTAAATTCAAAGTATATTTCCCTTTTTTTATTCTAGCCTTGAATCCAAAACAAATATTCTGCATTAAATTTTTGAATTGGCTGCCACCTTGTGGTATTCTCTATGGAACATCAGATTAGGTTTATTCACTGTAAATTGCCCAATACATGTAAGAACTAGATACAGAGAGTGGAACAACATACACTTTTCTCTAGCGTTTATTATTATTTGTAATACAGTAGAACCTAGAGACTCTAGGATTGTCCCTTTGCTAACCGTTTTGTAAAAAAGAATTAAAAACACGTACAAATTTCATATGGAACATTTCATAACAAGTCCTGCATACTCTTAGGCTTGGTCTACACTGGCGGGGTAGAAATTGATTTAAGTTACGCAACCTCAGCTACGTGAACAACGTAGCTGAAGTCGACATATTTAGATCTACTTACTGCAGTATCTTCACTGCGGTAAGTCAACTGCTGATGCTCCCCCGTCAACTCCTCCTGCGCCTCTTGCTCTGGTGGAGTGCTGGAGTCAACAGGAGAGCGCTCAGCGGTCGATTTATTGCGTCTTCACTAGACACGATAAATTGACCACTGCTGGATCCATCGCTCCAGAGGTAAGTGCAGACATGCCCAGAGACTTCAATCAACCTTTTTCCATTGTCCCTCAGTGCTAGAAAGAGTTCTGCTTCTCTCTGTCCTAATACGGGAAGCACTTGTGAATTTCTTTAGGTCATAAATTATATAACAGTACCCTCATGCAAGTGGTCCTATTGGTATGGCAGACAGAAGTGGGTGTCTCTTTCTAGCACTGTGGAAAAGGGTTGATTGAAGTACATGAGTGCATAAAACTTGTTTTAAATTGTGTGCGAGACCATACACTTGTGTGAACACCAGTGTATGGCTTGCAATCTAAAAAAGTTCACAAGTGGTTCTATACATAATATTCCGAAGCAGGGCTCTTAACGTCTCAATGAGCTAAGGCTTTTGAGTGAACAGGGGAAGGAAAATTATGAGTGCTATAACAGTCCCAGCAATGGAACAGTGAGCCTGCTCATGAATTATATAGCTTGAGATTCGTACTGCCACCCAATATTATAATATTGAAGCACATTCCACACAAAATAGATTGACAGAGAGGTCCCTACTGAACTTCATGAAGCATCTGGCTCTTCTCTCTTTATGGGTTATAAATAGCTCTGCTTGGGACAGTTTTAACGTATCTCCTCTATACGTTTATTATACAGCCAGCTTCCTTCAGCTACCATCTCTTCTGCTTCCACCCCCAATCATCATCATCATCATCAGGCCCCTCCTCCAACCCCTCCTTCAATCAGGAAATAAAGTCAAATTCTGAGAGAAATCTGAGGTCAAAGCATACGCAAACTGATTTTTTCCTCATTATTAATTATCAAAAGGAACTGGAAATTTAAAAAATTGTGGGAGGATGAGAATGACATGTAAGAGCAACCCTTTAGATACTACATAAAACAGTTATACATATGCTTACAACGCATTTTTCTTCATCTCATCCAATTACGATATTGCTTTTAAAAAGAGCTTCACCACTTACAGTTAAAAAGGGGCAAAAGTCAGTAGCACAATTCTGACGTTATTCTTGAGTTGTTAGTTCACAACAGTGTTTTCTGATAAGTTGCTATTACTGTATCTGTGAAATTATACCATTAAATATCCTCCCTCCCCCAAACCTATGCTGAAGCATAAAAATCTCATGAATTGTAACAATTTGCACTAGTTAAAATATTCTAGTGGCAGAGGGTATCTCAAAGTTTTGAATGAACCCAAGCCGTCTTAAATTATTTACTTCCTTTTGTAAATTGTCAGAATCATCCTACAATGTTAGAAAACGTTAAAAAGACTGCAGAGTTGCTGAGTGGATTCTTATGATTTGACATTAGAAAATATTTACCTTGCTCTGAAGTTGCTGTGTTTTCCACTGACAGCTCATAGTCATGGCACCTTTTCTCTGAAGCAGGCACTGCAAAGAGGCTTCCAGAGGCCCACAAGTTTCCACTAGTAACACCTTCTTTCCATCTACAGTTTTAACTGCTTGACAAGAAAAGCCATCAGTCACTTAAGCTGTCTATTGTAGGAAAAGACATTCAATACTAAATTTCACTGGAGCATGGAGCTAGCCCACAGATGTCCACGTAAGTGGACTTTCTGCCATTTGCCTTACTAAGAGACAAGGTTTTTAATTACAAGAAGCCCTATAAAAGGGCTCTATGTGCTAGTAAACTTCTGATCATTGCAATGTTGAAAATGCCATACACTTGTCTCTGGAAGAACTAACACAAAGGTAGTTTCCAATTTGTTTATGTGAAAAGTGACAATCTTACCCTGATTAGTGTGAATGTTCAGTATATATTGCTGAATTAAATGGAATCTGGGTTTGTTTGCATATAATCCTTTAATTTATCCAGTTGTAACAAGGTACTTCACCATTTTATTTAAAATTCGCCTACTTTTAAAGGACAATTGCTTCCAAAATTCAGAAGCACAATGGGATAAGAGTCTATTTTTGAATGATTGTTGTAATTGATTTAAGCCAGTACACAGGGCCGGCTCCAGGCACCAGCTAAAGAAGCAGGTGCTTGGGGCGGCCAATAGGAAGGGGCAGCACTTCGGCCACTGTTGGGGCGGCATGTCCGGGGTCTTCAGCGGCAATTCGGCGGCGGGTCCCTCAGTCGCTCTTGGAGCGAAGGACCTACCGCCGAATTGCTGCCGGGGGGGGGGGGGGCGCGGGCGGGGCGGCGGTTTTTTTTTTTTTTTCTGGCCGCTTGGGGCGGCAGAAAACCTGGAGCCGGCCCTGCCTGTACATTGATAGTATCTTTATAAAAGATGTAAAAAAACCCAAATTTTTGATTGTTTACAGGTAAAGTCATCTGCAATTTCAATGTTACCAAATATACAATGTAGTCCAAAACAAAAGATCCATTCATTAATAATCTACAGGAAAATTTTGATTTATCCAAATTTTTGTGTAATCGAAAATTCATCTCCGAACTCCTAGGTAAAATCTGTGTCAATTCTGTTTTTATAAAAGTTTCAGGTATTTCTGGAGACCTTTTAAAATGGGTTTGCCTATAGCAGCATCCAAGCCAATAAAACGTGAGTCTATAGACAAAGGCCACAGTACTACTCCTAGAAACAGATCTGCAGTTCTGAATTCAGATCTTGCTGAGATTCTCCATCAAAGAGAAGGAAGCAAGGACCTGTTATTTCAAATGTAAAATTAAGCAAGAAAAACTGTGAGGCTGTGTCTGTACATAGTAAGAAGCAAAACAAAACAAAGTTTTGCTTTACAGTTCATCTCTATGTCTATAAAACGTATGTGTTCCCGTAGAGCTGTGACGGTCAGTGGGACCACGGTCTTCATTTTACTTATATACATATATACATATATATGTATATATATAAAAAGAAAACAAAAACCAAGTCAAACAGGTGTTTGCAGGATTTATGTTAACGTGTTACCATGGTTTTGCAGGAGGCAAATCCACTACAGTGCAGTGAGTTTACATGTTTATTTTGTGCATATCAGAAAAAAGCATGAAGAAATACAGAACAAGACTAATGTATGACAAAAACTGGAAAAAAAAATACCAGGGAAAGATTTCATTACCAAGGATCTTATACAGGAATCTCACAAATCATCAGGAATACAAAACCTTGTACTTGGCAATATTAGAAATAGAATCATGCAAGATTGTCTTACCTAGTTTTTCAAGAAGCTCCATCACAGCGCTGGCAGTGGGAGAAACTGAACAGTTGTAAGTATCTCCACGCACCAACCGTCCCAGGTTTACATCTGATACTCTATAAAGGAAAAACATGGAGACATATAGAACAGAATGTGTGTGTGAGATATATTTTAATTAGAGCTTGCCCTGTGGGTTACATCCTATGTGTTAAAATACAGACTGGATGGCTCATAGAACTAGCAATAGTATATGGTTACTAGATTATTTTAATCTCTAAACTCCTATATCTAGCACTACCCCCAAGAGTTTAGATTTCAAACAACACAGAACTGTCAAGATAGATAAAAAAAGGGGAACAAGGGCTAGAAGAAATAAAATGAGTGCAAGACAATTTGTGACACGTTCAAGTAGAATATGAGGGAAAGAAGGAGGGAGGAAAAACAGAAAGAGGCGCATCTGTCAGAGGCGGGTGGAAAGCTACATAAAAGCAGTGGGGAGTTTAGAGAGGTTTGGAAGTACTCAGGATATCTGACGCACAGGAAGGAATGTTATTCCAGAAGGTTGGAGCAGTGTGAGAAAAGGCAAGAGTGAGAGGAAGAGACAAAAGGAACAAAATGGTACGGCAGCCCAGGTCTGTTGCTGTAATTTAGACAGGACCCTATGACTGTTTAAGTTATGCCAGGGCCTTTCCAGCCCTTGGAGCAGTTCAGGATAGACTGGGAGGGTGCAAATGTGACTTAAAACTACCTTAGACCCAGGCCCCCTTTAGAGATTCAGCCAAGACTCTCACCCTGGAGCTTTCTTTAAAAATGCTGTCAATGAAATTAATAAGAACGACAACCACGGCGGACTGGTGGATGAATGAAGAGAATAAAATAGGAATATGGTTTTTGTTGCCTTTATGTAACTACTTCTCAGGCTTACAGTTAGCAAAGATTAAAGCACAATACTATCAACATGACTTAAGCAGACACCGTTTGCTTGACTTTATAATCTTTTGTCCACACTTAATGACAGTTAAACATGGTGACTGAGGAATCTATTAGTGAAAAGTAATGGGGAAAATAGATTTGAGCCATAAAACTTGTATCTGCTCTGGCTACCTCTCACTACTTAGCTTACCCATCCACATCCTTCTCTGGTTTTACTGCATTTAATATTTTGCTGCTGTATGCATTTTCAGAAAGGTGAAGGGCAACGCCATGAACCGTAGGATCTTCATTGAGTCTCAAGATTTCACCAACAATCTAGGAAGTTAATAAAATGCTTTAGAAGACAGGATAAAGTCAAAAGTAGAACATTATGAAATAAAAATGGATTGTAGCTGTAAAATAATACTTATAACACATGGCATTTGTCATCTGTCTAGTTCTCTCATGCTTTAGCAGAAAGAGAAGCATGCAGCAAATCTGTGCCGTACACACACAAAGCTTAGTGAGTAGTAAGTACATGAACAATTATCCCCATATATGGAGTTGCAGGGGTATAACTGAAGGAATTTGTCCCTAACATTGCTGAAATGATGATCAACAGATAAATGTATGTAAAGAGACCTGTTCCATTGTGAAGGAAAAGGGAAGAGAGCTTAATTATGATATTTAAAGGGCAAGGACACAAAATAAGACCCTGCAAAAACAATTTCCATTAGCCATATTAAAACCAAAAACAAAACTAACTAAAATTCAGAACCATCCAGATGTTTACATGGTTAAAACTGTGTAACAGTGTGATTTTGTTGTAACCTTTGTCCTACCTCCCATTTTCCCCCAACTCTACCTCCCCATTTTCTCATTTGTTGCATCAAAATCACCTCCTGCACTAGATATCAGTGCACGTATTCCTATGCACTCTACCCATATTTAAAAACCAAACACACAAAGTTCCAAAAACAAGTGTTTTTAGTAAGACCACCAAAATAAATGTAAACACTTGTTTTTGGAACTTTGCGTATTTGTTTTTTAAATATGGGTAGAGTGAAGACGTGATAAACTAGAAACAAAAGAAAAAATAGATATTTTAAAAGGGAAAAAACTTCCCAGAAGAATTAAAATGACTGAATGTAAAGTTTGATTTAACAACCAATTGAACGTTTTTGTGCTCAGCTGGTGCAAATGTTGTTCTTCACCAAACAAACGATAACCTCTGTATATAGGAATACATGCACTGATATCTAGTGCAGGAGGTGATTTTGATGTAGGGTTACCATTCGTCCGGATTCCCCAGGACATGTCCGGCTTTTAGAGTTAAAAATAGCGTCCGGGGGGAATTTGTAAATGTCCGGACTTCTCCCCCCCCCAGAGCACGCGCTGCTGACAGGGCAGCCGGACGGATGGTGCCACTTACATGGGGCTCCAACAGCCAGAGAGAGCCCCTCCTCCACTTCCCCCTCCTCTCCCCTGCAGCTGAGAGCACTCCCTCCCTCCCTGAATTCGCAGATCACCAGCCGGCCGTTCGCACCGGCAGTCTGGAGCTCCTCCCCCTGCTCCTTCTCCTCCCCGGCACGCTGGTCTGAGCGGCAGATTAAGGGGGCCAGGGGGTCGGAGAAGGGGCAGGGGGGGTCGGGGGGGAGCGGTCAAGAGGCGGGGGGGGGTCGGGCAGGCGGGGGGGGCTTTCGGGGGGGGGGGAGTGTGGATAAGGTTTTGGGCAGTCAGGGTACAGGTAGGGGGTAGGATCCTGGGAGACAATGCCTGAGCTTTTAGCTGGGAAGATACTATTTCCAGGCTCCAGCCATAGTTACAAACACACGTGACAGACTGATGCACAGTCTGCTGGAGGATCTGAAAAAGCAAAATCTGCCTGACCTTCTACCCCAGAGGTAGAGCCCTAGGGTAAGATGGACATGTTGTAGGCCTTTTGTTGTGTAAAATACTTTTTCTCTTATGTTATGCTCTGTTATTTTTTAATTAATTTGGCCCTTTCACAATGTTAGTAAGGGTTTCTGTATTTAATACATACAGGCCCAAATCCTGACCTCAGTTACATTAGTTCAGTGCCTCTGACATAACTGTGCAACCAAAGTGAGAATTTGGTCCCCTCAATGTTACTATTAACAAATGAAGGAATTTATTACGGCTATTTTTAACATTATCTCTGGCGGTGATATAAACAGCCAGTTACAAACATATTTAAAATAATTCTAAAAATAATATATTCAGTTTAGACGTTTCTCTGGCTAAAACCTGGTCTAATACAGTGAAGGAGTATGTGTATTCTGGAGAGCATGGAGGGAACAGTAACTGCATTAGACAAATATCAAGTTAGGGTCCCAACTGTGAAAACTCTCTGTATATAGAATTTCCACTGACTTCAACAGAAGTTCCACACGTGGAGTGTTTGCAAGATTATACCCATGATGCACTCTGTTCTTATGGTTAAGGTACTAAACTGATAACCAGGGGATCCAAGTTCTGTTTTCTGCTCTGACACTTTCTCTCTCTCTCTCTCTCTATGTATGTATGTATGGGTATAATATTTGCCTACCTACACAGGACTGCTACGAGTATACATTTATGTAATGTCTGCGAAGTGCTCAGAGGATTCAATGATGATGAATGCCATAAATATAATTTTAAACATTTCCATTTGGTGTTATAATTCAAGTATGAAGAAAAAGATTCCCACAAAGTGCTACAGTTACCTCATCTTCACTGCTACCCTGAGGGAGGCAAATGTGAATAACGTGCAGACCAATCTGCCAAGAGAAAACAAATATTTTAAGTTACAACAACAATCAGAGGGCTCACAATTAAAATCAACCACATCTCCTAATCCTCACCTCTTTGGCAAAGTTCTGGTTTACTTCTTGCACCAAATCTTCATCACTCACCTTAAAGGGACCAAAAAAAAAGGCAGAATGTAAGTAATCTAAGGACAGAATTTAGCACCAAAGATTATATAGGATTATATTTTAAGAAAAATTGTGTGTACTCTGATACATAGATCTACAGAAAGAAGGTGGAGTGCAAACATTTCTCTTTCCAAGGTGCTGGAACTAGGGATGTTGCCGCACCCCCTGGCTTGAAGCAGTTTCCATCATATACAGGGTTTACAGTTTGGTTCAATGGCTCTCAGCAACCCCACTATAAAAATTGTTCCAGCACCCCTATCTCTTTCAGTAGTGAAAGGAGGTTAAAGCTGCCCAGTCTATAGGAATCTGACAGAAGGCCAGCTTGGAATATTTATCTTGGCTTGGTATGTTGAAATACATATCTTAAAGATAAGAGCTGGATGTTTTCCCTACTTTAAGCAAATTTGTTTAGTTAAAAAAGGCGCCAGTCCAACAATACTTGAAAGTGAAGTTATTTTTGCATCCCTATAACAGGTAAAGCACAGTCAATGGCAATAAAAGCATTTTCTATACTTCCCCCAAAATATGCCACAACTCAAGTCTTTTCCACCTCTACTGAATGTGATGTGAACCACTATCTACTGGGAACTGGACTAAAGTCACCAACTCTTTCCACAGACTCCAACAGAAATTTATCTTATGGTAACTGTTTTTAGCACCTATTGATCTGGGACAGATTTGAACCAATGACTTAGAAGTAAAAGGACCTGCATCCCACCACTATCCTTCTAGCTGTCTAGTCCCTGTAATTTTTGCATTTTAATAACTCAGTACAATGGATTATTACACATCTTCCCAGTCTGGAAGCCTTAGACACCTAAAGAGAGTTATCCCATGACTTTCTGTGGAAACCAGCTATACACCACTAAGAATGTTTGTATATTTCAAAGACAGCAGCTCTTTAAGACTTGGCAATAAAGCCAGCTGTTGATCACTCATGAGATGCTCAAATAGCAGAACTTGTTCCTACTTTTAAAAGTTATCAATAAAACTTTGTACGTATATAGATTTATTATTAGATCTCATTCCACAGCTTATAAGAAGCTAACTAGGAAACACCAATCAGTACAAGTGCCCTTCTATTATAGTCTTTTCTGCTACTCTACTGATAGTACATATAAAATTATTTTTTAAAATGTTTCAAAATGAAAATAATAAGAAACAATCCTTTAGTTAAATATACAAACAAATAAATACTTTACCTGTACAATGGCAAGTGTCGGCTTAAATGTAGGGTGTCCTTTCTGCAACGATGCCAGGACTTTCTTTGAATTCTGAATGATTTCTCTGCAACACAACAGTAACATAGTATCAATGTTTGTTACACATTTCCCTGTTACACCATTACCAGAAAGCGGTTGACATTAATTTCCCATACTATTTTAGTGACAGAATTCAGAACTACTGAATAAATATTTAAGCATGTTCAATGGTTTTCATTTTCAAAGCAATGTGTATATATTAATAAATACAGTAACATTTGGCAGCTAAGTATAGAAAAACTGAAGTAGCAAATCCAGCCACAATACCTTCATTATTTAACTTGCATTTACCATTGCTCCGACATGCCCAGTCCTTTAGATTCTGCACCTCTAATTATTCCACAAGGCTTGGAAAATCCACTCAACAGTGAACAGGATACTTTAATAGTTACAGGGGAGTGGTAACACTGACATACACACTTTCTGCATAGTTTGTTTCATTTCAACTATCCCTAAAACCTGGGGGTGGGAATGATTTTCAAATGTGATCCAAACAAGTAATATCTTCCTGAGACTGCAGATAGCTCCAGTAGCTCTAGGGCTGTCTATAGCTTCCCCAAGCAGCAACAAAGTAAACTTGCTAAGATTAGACTAAGTTTCAATGCTGCTATTCACTACCTGTGAGCAGCACTGAAACAAATGGAGCCTTGTCCAATTCACTGCTGTTTTAATGGGGAAACAAATCAATCAATCAAAAATTAAGGAAATAAAATACATAAGCTTGTAATGAAGAAAATAAAACACAAAAACATTACAAACTTTGAAGTCTACATGTAAAAAAATTACAGTCTTCATAGGAACATTTAAGGAATACAACTTAAAATTGAGCTTGTAAAAACAAGCTCTAAAAAACCCCAGAGAGCAACAGAAGTTTCCCACCTCTCTGCAGGGTTTGAAAGACAAGCAGTGCAACACTAAGGGCTTGTCTACACTACCGCGGTAGTTCGACGGCTGGCAATCGAACTTCCGGGTTCGATTTATCGCGTCTGGTGTGGACGCGATAATTCGAACCAGGAAGTGCTCGCCGTCGACTGCGGTACTCCACGTCAGCGAGAGGAGTACCGCGGAGTCGACGGGGGAGCCTGCCTGCCGTGTGTGGACCGCGTCTGAACCGCGGTAAATTCGAACTAAGGTATGTCGACTTCAGCTACGTTATTCACGTAGCTGAAGTTGCGTACCTTAGATCGAATTGGGGTGTTAGTGTAGACCAGGCCTAAGAATCTGAAAATGAAACTGATTACAAACAAAAGCTTCAATGATTCTTATTCTCCAAGCTGAAGGAAATATGAGTAATAAACAAAGGGCAGAAGAAGAGAAGTACATTTCATCTTTTAAATTCTTTCACGTTTACTAACCTACGGTATTACTAAAACACAGTAAAGGAATCAATTCACAGCCTCTGATGTATAATGTTAATGCACGGTGGATTTTTAATACATAATTTCATACTGTAATTTAATACATAATTGACTTCATGGAGAGCAGCATTTGGTTTTACTATTTATGTTGTTACACAGAACCCATGAAGTACGTGCAACGTGGCAGCGTTAGCTGTACTCGGGGAGCCCCTCATTTAGTTTTCCCTTTCCTGATATCAGGGCACGTTGGTTTGTAACAAGGAAGTTTACGTGCACATGAGTGTTGTGCTGGAGTAACACGCGACGCGAGGAGAGCAACGGGAGCCCGCAGAGCTTGCCATGCCCAGGGGATACTGCAAAGTGACTCCCCCAGGGGAGGTGGCGCAGGCCAGTATCCCGCTGAGGCGCGAGGCCGGAGAGGAAAGCAGAACCTCCCGGGGGAGGGTGACAGCACCCGCCTCTGCCCCAACTCCGCCAAGCTCTTACATCAGACGCAGCGGGGCGCAGGCAGCCTGGGCCCCCACGTGGAGCTGTGGCCCGGCGCTAAGCGGGAAGACCTGCGCGGCCGCCGCGAGGTACCAGCCGGGGGGCAGAAAAGACCCTGCGGCACCTCCACGTCCCTCCCCTCCCGCAACAGCTCCCCGCCCAGCCGCAGCCCCCGGGACACTTGGCTGCGCTGGCTCCGCTTACCCGGCAGCCGAGCCCCGCGCGCCGCCAGCCTGTTGCGTCTCCCAGCGGCCCCAGGTACTGGCCGTGCCCCGGCGGGGCGCGGTCCCCTTCCTCCCCGCTAGCGGGGCGGCGGCTCCCCGGCTTAGGCGACAGAGCGTGGAGAACCTCATGCTGCGGCGGCGGCTGGAGCTGTGCGGGGGCCGGGCTGGGCCGAGCCGGCTCAGGGCCAGGGGGAGGGACGCCGCGCAGCAGCTCCGGCGGAGGGTGAAGCAGGAGCCGCTAGGGGCGCCCAGGGTCGGCAGCTAGTTCCGCCGCAAAGGCAGAGCGGGCCCGGCTGGGCGGGTTCCCGTGGCGGCTCGGCCAGACTCCGCCTGCAGCATTGGCCCCTAGCTAGAGTCTGTCGAGCCTGCCTTGCAACGCTGCGCTCAGCCTCGGGGAAAGCCAGGGCCCCCTTCCAGCCTCACAGGAATCAGGGAGCCTGGGGTCAGCAGGGAGCCTTCGGCAGCCAGGGCCTAGGACCCAGAGGCCTCCTGAGACTTGGCTCCAAGCCTGCTGTTGTGCAGCATGGCACAGCTCAAGCCTCAGAGGGGCTGTATAGTGCAGTATGGACAGCAGAGCATGAGCCTGGGACCCGGCTCCAGCAACCCTACAGCCAGGTTTACAATGCAGTGTAGATGTTCAAGGACAGGCTTAGAAACCTGGACTCCACCAGCCCAGATCCTACAGCTGCGGGTTTACCCCATAGCTTTAAGTGCCATAGGCCTCCGTTTTCCCATCTTTATCATGGGCAGCACACAGCACGGCCCCACCTAGTACACATGATTACAGTTTAAGTTAGGATGACCAGCTGTCCTGATTTTATAGGGACAGTCCCAATTTTGGGGCCCTTTTCTTATATAGGCTCCTATTACCCCTCACACCCTGTCCCGATTTTTTGCACTTGCTGTCTGGTGACCCTATTTTAAGTTGACATTGTTCCTTTAAGATAAAGTTTCATAAAACAGTTTAGTGCCTGTTTCAATGGAACAACAAGCTTAGACTAGGCAACGTCACATTTACCTCTATGTAATATAATATTAATAGCCTATGTTCACCAAAGGTCATATTTCTAATTTGTGTTGAAAACTAAATGTTGCTACCTGCTATAAATAAATGTATAATGTAAGCAAACAACCTCCAATGCTCATGTGCATTCAGACAGAAATATTTTGTGTTTGCCTGCCCACCTCTGCATCATGATGTCTGGCTGTCGTGTTAACCCACCACTATCTAGTCAATGGGCCACAGTTTGATAAAGATCAGGATGACACTTTATAGTATTGCATTACTGTAGTTTCAATTGCTAAGGGTCTGTCTTAAGGGGCTAGATATTAAATTAGCCAGTCCCCTCATCTTATTTACAATTTGAAAGGGAGAGGGAAACCAGTTCTGTGTATGGGAGCTTTTACAACGTGAATACACACACACACGCACGCCTGTCAAAATTCATTATTTTTCTCATTCCATTTCTAAAAATCCCGAGTGTTTATTTTCCTCACTCCCCCCATCATATCTCTGAATTGTTTCTGTTAAACACACATACATATTTTATGGCTGTATGCAAATCAGTACAATATCTATAAAGTACGACTAACACATACACAGAGTTAATGCCAGAGTAAATACTGGAAAATTTAGTAGGAACGTGCACACAAGTGGGGCCTCATGCAGTCTCTTCTATAGATTTCATTACTGAAACTCAGGGAACAAGTATGCATTAAGCACAGTATTCCTGTTTCCTGACAAGTGCCTGGTCTTAATATCTGAAACATTTCTTTTATTTATATTCATTAGCACCACTCCATCCAAAATTGAGAGTGATTTTATAACATGAAAATTTACAATAGTCCAAGTGCAATGAGAAAGTGTATTAGTAAGATTAATGCTTACCCACCATCAATAATAAAATAACTTTGCCTAATTATAAACTATACCTATACCCTATAACTTGCCCTTACCCCCAAATACTCATTTAAAAAAAAAAGTCACTACAACAACCTAACTAAGGATAAAGATTATGATTAAACCCTCCCTGGTTTAGATAATCATTTAAACAAGGGGTTCTCTCACCTTGTTTCTTAATGTGTCCGCTCACATATTAACAAACAGATGGTCTCACTCTTCAGAACAACCAAGAGGCCGAGAACAGATCCCAGAGTCTGCTGATCCACTTTAGTTTAGATGGTACACACCCTCGGACTTGTCCATCAGATGTCTTGCAGTATAGTGAATGACACTGATATGAAAGCTATGGGGCACAAGAGACCTGTATGCAGAAATCGGCTTTAGGCCTAGCAGAGATGTGCCAGGCCTTTCATATTTTAATAGGGTGTTCTGTTTTCCCATAACCAAGCAGGATAATTAAGAGGAGCTTGCTCAGCAGGAATATTTTAGAGGGAACCAAGTGTCGGCTAGGGATCTTAGGTGAGGTTTGGCACTGGTACCCAACACTTCCTTTAGAGTAGAGCAGCAGGATTTCAGCAGAGATAACAATGTGACCATTGAACATGGGATGTAATGAAAAAACAGGATTTTAGGGGACAAACAGGAACTTAAGATACGCAGGGAGAGCAATGGAAAGTCATTTATTACCTGTAGAACAGGTCTTTGACACTAGACCCTTTCAGTGTTTCCACAGGCTATTAGCACTTTTACATTCACGCCTCACTGTTCTCCCAGGGTGCTCTATAACAGTCATTCCTTCTATTCTAGATGGCTGTAATTTTGTCTCCATAAAGTGGTTTGATACTATGAGCATACCTTTTATGAATGTAACATTAACTTTTAGGCAAGAAAATGGTGAATCATTAATTCTTTCTTGTGCGGGCAGAACTCAGGCTGTAAAGCCAAGGTGGCCTAAATGTACAGAGAGAAGGGCATGATAGCACAAGCTATCCACAAACCATGTGCTGCTGGAGAGCCTAAAGCCAGCTGGTGCAGCTGAGACAGCATTCAGGCTTGGGCTGACTGGGAGATGCCCTGAATCAGTGTTTCTGTGGAGCCCTAGCTGGAATTTAATGCTGCCTTCCCCTGACAGTAACTATGTGGATGAACCATCATGGTAGCTTTGCCTCCCCTACCCTCTTGAGGACTCCAGAGGAGGGTCAGCACAGTGATCCTGCACAGCTACTGTAGTCTCCTGAAGCCAGCAGGAGTAATTTGAGCCCCTTGTCTGAACATATAAATGCTTTGTATCCTTCTTTCTTCCAAGAACAGGTACTGTGAGTGACTCTAAAACGTCACTATGTAAATCTAGGAACAGAGAGAGGAGGATACTTACCTGTAACTGGAGGTTCTTCAAGATGTGTGGTCCCTGTCTGTATGCCACTGTGGGTTACGCATGAGCACCGTGCGCCCGAAGTCGAAGAATTTGAAAGTAGTGTCTGTTGTTCATGGGCTCTGGGTCATCTCATGCTTCTGAGGTGATAAAGGGTGGGGTGGACCGACTGCCTCTTCAGTTGGTTCTCCGCCATGAATCAGAAAATATCTGAAGCAGAGGGGAAGAAGGGCAAGTAGTGGAATAAAGATAGGGACCACACATCTTGAACAACCTCCAGTTAAATGGTAATTAACCTCCTCTTCTTCTTCAAGAGATGGTCTCTATTGTATTCCACTGTGGGTGATTGACAAGCAGTACCTACGTAGGTGGAGGGTGCGAGGATGAGAATGGTAGGGTCGAGAAGAGAACTGCTGTTCCAAAGGAGGCATCAGTAGCTGAGTCTTGTACCAGGGTGTAATGTCTTGCAAACATGTGGACAGAAAAGTGGCCACTTTACAGATGTCTGGAAGGGGTATGTCCTGAAGAGACCATACAGTTGTGGCTTGGGCTCTCATGGAGTGAGCTCATACCCCTGGAGTGGGAGGAGGAGAGGTTTGAGAGCAGACAGAGTAGAATGCAACCAGATATCTGTTTAGAACTTCTCTGGGTGGAGATGGTGTGTCCTCTGACTCCGCTATAGCGACAAACAGCCTCAGGGACTTTCTGAATGGTTTTGTTCTCTGCAGGTAAAAGGCCAAGGCTCATCAAATGTCTAGGGAGCGAAACCTATGTTTTTCAGTAGCTGCGTGCGGTTTCAGGAAGAATACAGGTAAGAATGGATTGATACAGGTGAAATTCCGAAATCACATTAGGGATAAATTTGGGGTGTAGGTGTAAAGAAACTGTATCTTTGTGAAATAGCGTATGGAGGGTCTGCCATCATTGCACCAAGTTCACCAACTCTCCTTGCCAATGAGATGGCTGCAAGAAAGATGACCTTCATGAAGAAGAGGAACATGGAGCAAGTCCCTAAGGGTCCAAAGAGGGGTGGGCATGTCAGAACCGAAAGAATGAGATTTAAGTCCTATTGGAGTGTTATCTTTCAAGGAGGTGGGAAAGTTCTTATCAGGCCTTTCCACAATTGCGTGGTTAGTGGGTGTGCAAAAATAGAGTAGCCCTCCATAGAGGGATGGAATGCACTGATAGCCACCAAATGGACTGACAGGGAACTGAGGGATAGACCCAATGTTTTCAAAGGGGTGGAGGGGGGGAGAGATGCTGAAGCCACCGTTTCAGCTGGTGATAATGATGATGACAGTGTGGTAGTACTCCTACTCCTCTTCTATCGGATCCAAAGGTAAATTTGATCGTTCCCTTGGAGGGACCACAGGTGGTGACTTCCTAGCAGATCAAATAGATTCAAAAGGGGGGTACTTGTGCCAAGGTCCAGAGTATGGCCATTAGGTGGGGTCTAAAGGTGGTGGCAGTGGTCCCCATGGCATGGGGTACCAGTCACGCTGAGCCAGGTGAGGTGGTGGTTGGTCCCAGGGTCGTGTGGGTCTCTTGGGGAATGGGTAATGGTGGTACAGGAGGAGTGGTTCCAAATCTCCTGAGGAGGAAAGAGTTAACTCGGGTTCCAATGGCAGTATCGTCAGTGCTGATGGAGAGATGGAGATTGTGTGTGTGTGGGGTGGGGGGCGGTGATAAACTCCATCCCACCAGCAGATCTCTCGGAGGCAATATAAACTCTGGAAATGGGGAGTTCTAATGGAGCGGAGGGATTCTGAATTCGGGAGAGCAAAAATGCCCTGTGGGGCAGTCATGGATCTGGAGCTCCCTAGTATAAGAGGGTCTCTTTCTGCCCAGGCCATCGATGCCAGCAATGATGATGGT